CCACGCTCGGTAATGAAATCCCTTTGATCGATAGCTGTCTCTTATACACATCTAGATGTGTATAAGAGACAGCTCTCTCTCTCTCTCTCTCTCTCTCTCTCTGTGCGCACCTTCTCTGCGCAAACCAGGTATATTGACTTTTCGGTAACCCAGGAACTGACAAGTTAGAGCTTTTCCCCTCCCTCCTCCCCTTTCCCTCCCTTACTCCCTTCCCCCCGTCTCTTCCCCTCCCTCCGCCCCCCCTCCCTTCTCGAGGCGAGAGGGGGGGAAGGGAGTAAGGGAGGGAAAGGGGAGGAGGGAGGGGAAAAGCTCTAACTTGTGCACGATCAGCATCTAGTACTTGTTCTTGTTTTCAAAAACAGATCAAGTGTTCAAAAACACAAGTTTAACTGTCTTCAAAAACAGATCAAGTGTTCAAATCCTGACCGATACGAGAAGTTAGAGCATCTACTTGTTGAAGCGGGAAGTCTCTAACTTCTCGTATCCGTCAGGATTTGAACACTTGATCTGTTTTTGAAGACAGTTAAACATGTGTACCAAGCCTCTACAGTCTTCCCCCGAATACAACGTACGGTCATTATAGCAGAATTTAGACTGAAAGATACACCAAATTCAGCTATAATGACCGTGCGTTGTATTCGGGGGAAGACTGTAGCGTTTTGTATCCGTCAGGATTTGAACACTCGATCTGTTCTTGAAGACAGTGAAATCTGTGTACCATTCCAACCGTGTTCAGAAACGGTCCCGTTAACTCTGTCGGTCCCGTTGTCGGTCCCGTTAACTCCGTCGGCCCCGTTAACTCTGTCGGTCCCGTTAACTCTGTCGGAGAGATGTAGCTGTGCATCTGAAGTCATGTTGTTGCTTCATCTCTCCGGTCTCGTTAACTCGGTCGGTCAAGGGGGGGGGAAGTAAAATAAAAAATTGGGGGTCCAGTTTCAACCAACCACGTTGAAGAAGTGAAATGGGCGTCTCGCTCTTGCTCCCCGCGTTTCGTGTGCCTTCTTTTTTTTTTTTTTTTTTTTTGCTGGAAAAGTATCATGAAGGCAAAAAAGACAATGTTTTGGGAATAAGTCTCGGCAAACGAATTTTATTTTCATTTGGCAGAACGGCAGTTAAAAGATATGTGAGATGAGAGAAAAATATATGGCTGTCTCCCGATGAGAAGAAGGCAGCTTAATATATATATAGATAGATAGATATATAGATATATAGATAGATATATAGATATATAGATATATAGATAGATAGATAGATATAGATATATGGGCCAGTCACTGTGCCTCCCCTCCGGTCGCACACCTGCTGTAGCAGGTATCGTCGCACCGACTGCTGGTGGGTGGTGGGTGCAGGTCCCGCATGTTCCCTCGTTGGAGGCTGGAGGACGCATGTGGCTGCTACCGGGTTCCCCGTAAAACTAAAATGACAAAAAAAAAAAAAAGGCCTGAAAGGTCGGCCTGTACAGATTCGACAGGTAATTGAATTGGTYGGGCTTAAAGAATTAGCCTTTTTAGGCTTAAAAAAAAAAAAAAAAAAAAGAGCGCAGCGAGATTCCATACTCGACGAACGGGCCTACTAGCCCAGTTGGTATACCCAATGAACTGTTGAAATAAGAAACCCCAGAAACCCAAGTTCAAATCCGGCTGCGATCAGATTAACAGAATAAAATAAAATTAAATAATTATGAATTACCAACCTGGGCCCGGTCAGCTCAATGATCATATCTCAAGGCCGTCGCCCTTCCAAAAAAAAAAAAAGAAAGAAAGAAAGAAAGAACCATGCTCAGTGTGAATTGCAGGGGGAAAAAAAAAAAGAAAGGAAATGAGCTAATCATCCCGGCAATCTAAGGACCTATCAGTGCTGATAGCTCCGTACAAACAGTAGCGAATGTATGGCCTAACAAAAGTAGGTGGTTGATTTTTTTCTTTTCTCTTGATTTTTTTTGTTTCTTGCATTTTTATTTGCCACTATCGTTGTCGTGCTTTGGACAGGCTTGGTTCAAAAAAAAAAAAAAAAAATGGTGGCAAATGAAAATGCAAGGGGAAAAAAAAGGAACAGAAACAAAATCGAAAGGATTATATATATTGTCATATAATCCCTTTCTCCGATCATTTTCCTCAAAATTTCTGTGATATGAAAAAAAAATAAAAATAAAAATCTGTGAATGTGAAATGCCATCCATCGTCATGTCATGTTTCCTTTTCTTTTTTTTTTCATTACCGCTTTAGCGTCACATCTTCTACCATTAAAAAAAAAAAAAAAAGGGAAAGAAA